GCTAATTTTTCAATTTTTTTGTAGAGACAGGGTTCTACCTAGTTGCCTAGGCTGGCCTCAAACTCCTGAGCTCAAGTGATCTGTGTGCCTCAGCCTCCTGAAGTGCTGGGATTACAAGCACGAGTCACCATGCCCAGAAAGTAAATTTTCTATTTAAGCAGCGTGAGTCAGGTTTTCTGTTACTTGCAATATAAAGTCTTCAATAGTAGGATGTGTGTGGGTTTTTTATTTGTTTGTTTTTTGAGACAGAGTCTCACTCTGACACCCAGGCTGGAGTGCAGTGGCACAATCTCAGCTCACTGCAACCTCTGCCTTCCAACTTCAAGCAATTCTGGCACCTCAGCCTTTCAGGTAGCTGGGATTACAAGTGCGCCTCACCATGCCCAGCTAATTTTTATATTTTTAGTACAGACAGGGTTTCACCATGTTGGCCAGGCTGGTCTCGAACTCCTGCCCTCAAGTGATCCGCCCGCCTAGGCCTCCCAAAGTGCTGGGATTACAGGTGTGAGCCACTGTGCCTGGCCAGGATGTGTGGTTTTAAATCATTGTTCTGGTAAGTGGTTTAAAAAGCTTACTCCCTGGCCACATGGAGGGTAAATTGGTTGGCAAATCCCAAAGCAAGGGGATGGCTGGAAACCACTGCAATATGCCCAGTGAGAATCAGTGCAGGCAAGAGTTAAAGAGTTGACAGTAGACAGAGAAGATTTGAAAGAAGAAGCATTTGTGCAAAACTTGTTTAAAACAGGTTGTTAAATTTATCTGGGATTGAAAGCTTCATTTGTTCTTCTATTTAATCCCACTGGAATAAAGGATTATTTGGGGGGAAAAAAAAAAAAAAGCTTCTAAGATTGTATCAGGTACCTGAAGTCTGTTACTACTCTCATCCCTAAGAGAAAGGAAAAGCGGCCATCTAGGGTGGCTCACGCCTGTAGTCCCAGATACTCGGAGGCTGAGGCAGGAGAATCACTTGAACCTGGGAGGCGGAGGCTGCAGTGAGTCCAGATCACACCATTGCACTCCAGCCTGGGTGACAGAGCTAGACTCCATCCCCAAAAAAAAAGGAAAAGAGAATTACCTCCATTAGTTATTGCTCATTCATTCATTATATCCCATATTCCATACTAAATAGTTCATCTTTCCAGGTATTTCTGTCCTTCACATGTTTACAGCCTGATATCATATCCCTCAAAGTCATCAAGTAACTCAGTTCCACCTACTTAGCTCCTTTAAATCTTTCTTCATATATCAGATCCTTTCATTCCTCTGCACATAAGAACTTATACTCACATATATTCCATCCATTCTATTTCACAGCTCTTTAGTGGCAATGGCCCAGTGTGTACAATCTGTTCCATGTGTCCAGACTCGGCAGGAAATAGGGAGCGGGAGAACAGGCAGTGAAATTCTGTAGGTCAAACAGAAGGCTAGGATGGATGCCATTATTGTATTGTGCTTGGAGTGAGAGAACCAGGTTTGCAGCCTATCTGTGCTCAGCTGCATGACTTGGGACAAGCCACTTGACCTTTTGAACCTTGGTATCTTCAGTTATAAAACACAAATGATTTTTAGCCCATAAGGGGCTCGAGTCTATCTTATATTCTTCCTTCATCCCCTCTTCTTTATTCCCTGAGGAGAATGAGGGTTGGCAAGGATGAATCAAGGGCTTGTTCCTGGGCCAACTGGTGAGTAGTGTGGTCTCATCCTCTAAGGAATTATAATCTCTTTGAATTGCAAATCCCTCATGGCTAGTAACTCTGGATAGGTCCTGGGCTACTCCAACCTAGGAGCTATTCTGCTCTGATAAAGTAAAATAAGCCAGGCCTGCTGTAGGCTTAGAAAGAATCGCCTTTTCCTCTCCTTTGCTTATCTCATATTTTCTTGAACCAGCCTCTCCTTGGAAAAACTCAGGGCAGAAAAACTGAGGGCTGAGAATTAAGTAAAGCTTGGTGGCAGGCAAGTGAAGCTTGGGGTCTACTTACCACATTGCTGCCTCTGCTCTGTCACGAGGAGCCCTACAAGCAGTCCAGCCTGGATTCCGGGCATGCCCCTGGGTTCAGGGGCAAAAGACTTTGCCTTGGCTTCAGCACATGTCGCTGGGGACAGAGGCAAGGCACTATGGCACTTCACGCTTTCAGCTTCTCCTAATCTTTTTCCACCTCAATAGAACTAATCCTAATAGCACCCTCTTATAGGATTGTTATGACAATGTAATGAGATCATCTAAGTGAAAACTATTCAAAAATGGAAAGTAATCGTCTTGAATTTTAAATTCTTCCTATTTTAGTTTCTTCATCTGTTAAATGTAGTTTTTAAAAACTGAAAAACAAACATACTCGTGAGTCTTTTGAGGGATTGCAAGAGGAAAAAAAACGCAATCCAGGAGGGGCGCGGTGCTCATGCCTGTAATCCCAGGACTTTGGGAAGCCAAGATGAGTGGATCACCTGAGGTCAGGAGTTCAAGACCATCCTGGCCAACATGGTGAAAACCCATCTCTACTAAAAATACAAAAATTAGCCAGGCGTGGTGGCATGTGCCTGTAGTCCCAGCTACTCAGGGGCTGAGGCAGGAGAATCACATGAACCGAGGAGGCAGAGGTTGCAGTGAGCCCAGATTGTGCCATTGCAATCCACCCTGGGAGTCAGAGCAAGATTCTGTTTCAAGAAAAAAAAAAAGGCAATTTATAGTCATGGAAATTATTTCATTTTAACTTTATTAACAGTTTTGGCACTGAAATCCTCTATAAAGTGAATATATGGTTAGCCCTCTTATAGGTCTTATGCCTATTAATGATCTTGTAAATCTGCAGAAAATAGGGCCACCCATTTACTATAATCTCTCATTGAGAAGATATAGTTGGTTTTACTCTTAACACTGCACCACTGTTTCAGTTTAGATTCCTGGTAATTACATAAGTCCTAGCAGTAAGAAGCCTCTTCTGATTCACAGTGACCCTACCCCATAAGCAAGATCTGTCAGTCTATTCTATAGTTCACATGTATTGTATTGTGCACAATTGCTGACCCTCATGTAATTCACAAGTAGAAAGCATGGCCCGGCCCTGTAGGAGCTATACTCCAGGCAGCAGGCATTGATCTTATAGATACAAACAGATATATATTTCAGCCAATCTCCTACATATGTTCCAAACATCATGTCTTCCCTAACATAAAGAACTAGACATATTGGGGCTTTAAATAAGGTCTAATTTCCTGAAAGCACAGCCAGCATATCAGGGGGAAAAAACAAAAACAAAAAAACTTCAAGAGTGGAAATGCCGTTAAAAAAATCTGGGAGTTTTTCTATCTTTAAGGCAGTAGATGAATGGGTGCCTAAAGATAATTATACCAGACTGGAAGTAAAAATCAGTCAAATAACCGCACGACTAAGAGCAGATCTCGCCAAAGCCTCAGCATTATCATAATGCAGGTGTTACTGCACCCCATCTTCCTTCCTCAAGGGGTGCCTTTGCTGAGCCCTGATGCTATGAAAGGGCAGAGTCTTTCTCTCTTCAATCTCTGCGCCTCTAGTTGGAGGATTCCAGGGGATTCCGTGTCAGAGCCCACACCAGAGGCTGGAAACAAAGAGGTTGGACACGCATTTGCCCATTGCCCTGGACACCCTGATGCTGGGGAGCTGGCACCATCTGGGAGGAGAATCACAGTGTCAGAGGACAGCATAGACCTTCTGCATCCTGTCACCTGCCCTCATGCCGCATAAAGAGAAAGCTGCCAGGCACAGGCCTCCCAGGAAGAGATTGACTCCAATATATCTGTCATTTGTCCCATATCTGCTTTTTAAGTACGCAGACTAAGCCAGACCCTCATGACTAAGTATGTACACTGGTGAACAAAAAGACTTCCCAGGTCCCAGAACAAAGATGAGGATGAATCCTTCCATTTGGGTTTAAGTTTCTCACCAAAAGAGATCCAGTTCTCCTGTTTCCTCACTAGTGGATCTTAAGGGCATCTCTGCCTTGACAACCCTAACACTAATATCTAACACTCAAAACATTCCTTTTTCTCAGCATAATGTTACTGGTAAAATAAATTTTTTATATATTAGCCCTGCCCTTCTTACATGGGGGTGCAGTGGGCTTCCTCCAGCTAGTTTGAGGCCACTAGCCTCAAACACTTTCTGTTCACTCTCTGAATAACCCAAGGAAATGGCCACTACAAATTCTTTGGATTCAGCTTCTGCCTGACAGAGGGAGGTAAGAGTAGTGGTCGGGGTGCGGGAGTTTCACTTTCTCAATGCCCGAACCTCAGTTAGCACTTTAGAGGACAGAGGGAAGATTCTGAAATTTTCTGTGTAGGAATTCAAAATGATTACTTGACCAAATTTGCATTTCTGAGACAAGCATTTGTAATCACCCCTAAATAAATTATAAATTTCATTCTGTCACAGAGTCTGAATCAATGAGATTTTGACGGATTTCTATTTTGTGGGTGGAGACGGGGAAGATGCCTTGAGGCTGAGGGACTTGCAGGAGGTGACTCTGCTCACGCAGACTCTTGACCTTTCACCAAGGATGGCTTGGGCGTGCCGGGTTAACAGGCTCCTAAACCTGCCTGGAGCAGTACAAAAACAAACATCAACATTCTCTGCACAGGCTGAAGCTCTGAAATGTTGCAGCAACCCACATTACAGAATGCAATTTCAATTCCAATTAACCATATCACTACATCATTCTAAAGTCACCTGGGGCAGTGTATTGCAAATTGACAGCCACTGCCCACTCAGTTTAACAGGCAATGACCAGTGTTTTCTAAAAATAAGAAAAAGAGTATAATAGAAAACATTAGAGTACTTTGCACATTATGAAGTATTGTTTTATGAAATACTTAGTTCAGGCAGGTAAGTAGGTGATGCATCATTACTGTGGGCTGGATCATAATATGCAATGCATTTTTACTATGCTCTTGGTCAGAGTAGACAAACAATGGCTAAAGTGTGCTCTCATCATTTAGTCCTCCCTTTCTTTCTTTTTTATTTTTTTTCAGTGGGTCTTTACAGCAAAAACTGGAAAGCCTGCTAGACAAATTCTGCAAGAGTTGTTAACACTTTTTTTTTTTTAACTCTTCTTTTTCAGTGCTGCCAAATAAACAGTGTGCTTCATTATCATTCCCTTGTATTCATATTCCCCAGAGATACCAAATAGCCTCTGCATACCCATCAGGGTTTTACCTGCCTTGAAGGAGTGATTGCAACACATATATTACTTTTTAGGATAGGAACAGCATGGGTAAAATGAGAGTCACTCATGAAAATTCCACACATTTTGCAGAACTTAACAAACTGATCACACACACCTTTTCTTTTTCTGGTCAAGGTCATAAGTTGTTTTCAGGATTTGGTCTGAGATTCATCAGAGTCCCATGCATCGTGACACCTTCTATTGCTAGGCTTCTAAAACCCTGTGTATTTGCACAGGTCCTCTGTGGACAGTGAGCTGGACTGACCTCACAACCCTCCAGAATGTTCAGTGGCTGAGAATGACCCACTCCCAGCAAATTTCTGCAGCCAAGGGGTTAATCCTCCCTGAGCTGAAGCCTGACATGGTGTGAACCACAACCTCCCCCTCACAGCTGTTTTAGCATTTCATGTGCCTGACAAGAAGCATTTATGTCTGGCCTAAACCTCACCTGTTGCAACGTGACTCCATTCATTCACTCTGTCACCAGAGTGACGGTCACCAGATATTTGTGGAGCCCCTGCAATGGGCTTGTCATTGCACGAGGTGCTGCAGAGCTCACAGTTCCGCCACAGAGACAACACACTCATAAATCACAATGCCAGGCCACATGTGCGGCAAAGGCCATGAGGCTCTAGGTGTGCAGAGAGGGGACAAAGAGGGTTGGCCTTAGAAGGTCTGGTGTGGCTCACAGAAAGGCTGGTTATGACTTGCAGTCATGTAAGTGCAGATGAAGAATAGTTGATATCTTCCTCCTATGGTTAATTCTCCCCAAACTTCTCTTTTGACTCTTGATGAAACATTCTCAATGAATTTTTCTTTTTATATCCAACTGTTAGTCCTTCCAGCAATTTTATCATCAAAGTCTGTTAATTTTCTATCTCTTCTTGCTGTCGGGTGAATGTTGTGTCGTTTGTTAAAATCCTAAACCCCAAGTACAATGGTATGAAGATGTGGGGCCTTTAAGAGGTGATCAGGTCATGAAGGTGGAGCCCTCACAAGTTCATTTAGTGCCATTATAAAAAGACCCCCAAGAGACCCTCGCCTCTTCTCCCATGTGAGGACACAGAAAAAAAGACAGTGTCGATGAACCAGGAAGGAGGGTCCTCACCAGACACTGAATCTGCCAGCACTTTGATCTTGAACTTCCCAGCCTCAGAACTGGGAAAAATAAATTTCTATTGTTTATGAGTTATCCAGGTTATGGTGTTTTGTTATAGCAGCCCAAATGGACCAGGACTCTCCCTGTATAATGTAAGTTCTATGAAAGTAAGGACTTTGTCTATTTTGTTCCTTGCTCTACTTTCAGCATCTAGTACAGTGCCTGGCAATAAATATTTGTTCAACAAATGTATGAGCCCACTTTCTATGGGCTTCATTAGGCTGAGATGGGGATGGGGGCTAATGTTTAAAATGGGTTCCTATTACAAATAATGAAACCAACATCTCAAGCTCTCCTTCCTACCCATTGTTGTAGGACCTCCATCCCCTCCAGGTCTCTCCTGCTTGTTTCTGAGCATTCCTGGAGATGTTTTCAGTGTGCACAGGAACAAGTGCTGAAGATGTGGCTACCACACTGGAAATCTCAACAAGCTGAGGAGGTTCTGTGTTCTCTAAAGCCCTCTGTGCATCACAGCCATGGCTGTAAGCCATGAAGAAAGGGAAAGAACACCTCCTTCTCGCCTTGTATAATCTCTTCTCACACAGGCACCAAAGCACTATGACGCTGTGCTTTGTAGTTGGAGGTTTTGTATTGAAAATACTTCCCATATTTACTTACAGGTCTTATTTCCTCTGGATCCAGACATGAGTACAGGAAGAGCTCATCTGAGGACAAGGAGCAGTATTCAGTCTCTCTCCTTCCTCCCTGCTGGTCATCAAGACATTCAGATTAGCTGAACTTAATAGGCCAGCTCTGCCTTAGGGTGAGGGACTCCCATGAGGCTATTCAGCGCCCTCTGCAAAGGAGTCTACTCTCTTAGCCCACTAACCATTACCAGGCTGTCTAGATTCCAGCAGTGACCATGTTCAATCTTGAGCTTGAGAGCCACTACAAAATCCTTTCTTATAGATAGAACTTTGGATTGGCATAGAAATGTGGCATGTACCTGACCAAGCCTGTGTATATGTCACTGGTATTTTATGTCATATTCTAGAGCTTGCATGTGTCCAGGAAGTCTAGTGAATTCGACCATGAATCCAGACATGGCCAGTGGCTACATCCTGTGGGAAGACACTGTGCTTCTCTCTGACCCATGAACACTCTGCTAGTCAAGCTCTCTGTCACAAAGACAACTTGAAGAGACAGTGTGGACCTCAGAGAAGATACCATCATCACTCTTACCAATACAACTGTAGTGAATAGGACCCCTATTATTCCTTAGATCAAAAGGACAGCTCATTCAACAGTGTCTTCAAGGCATGCCAGCAATTTGCATAGGATGTTCATAATCGCACTTTGATTATCTAGTGCTTTGTGGATGTGTTGTATATTATAGAAATCCATTTGCAACATGGAGGCAAATTTTCTCTTTTGTTTGTTCGTTTGTTTATCTGAAAATCAACAAATGGTTATGGAATACCTACTATGTGCCAGGGACTTCTGGTCACAGCCTCAAACAAAAGAGATTTTTCTGTATTCTATTCTTCTGTAGCTTACCATAAGTAAGAGCATTACATAGGTAAGAAAACAGTTAAATAATAAGATAATTTCACAGAATCATAACTTTGGGCCTGGTGTGGTGGCTCATGCTTGTAATCCCAGCACTTTGGGAGACCAAAATGGGAGGATCACTTGAGCCCGGGAGTTCAAGACAAGCCCTAGCAACACAGTGAGACCACTCCCCCCAGCCCTGAAAAAAATGGAAAAATTAGCCAAGAATGGTGGTGCACACCTGTAGGAGGCTAAGGTGGGAGGATTGCTTGAGCCTGGGAGGTGAAGGTTATGAGCCCAGGAGGTGAAGATGAAGGTTATTGCTTTAGCCCTGGTGGTGAAGCTAAGATGGTACCACTGCACTCCAGTCTGGGCAACAGAGCAAGACCCTGTCTCAAAAAATAAAATAAAATAAAAGCTAAATTTTATGAATAATAAATAAATTCTATGGAAAGAATTATGCAGAGCAGTCTGACACAAAAGGTGACTGGGATTTGCTGGCCTATGTCATTCACATCCCCTTGTCCCTTGCAGTTTCTAGAGTACATGTCAGAAGGTGAAATGCTTGTTTCCCCATCCTCCCTTACTGCTAAGGGAGTAGCAACCTGACATGAATCCATGGCTCCAAACAAAATACCCTGAGGAATACTTTCCTGCCCAATAAAATGCAGAGCCAGAGCCACATAAAAAAGACTTTGATCCTTTAAACTCTCCCTTCTCCTTGTTTGAAACAAAGACATGATGCCCAGAGGCACAGCAGCTATCTTGCAATCATGGAGTGATCATCACATGGAAGAATGTCATGATGTTAATGACTACCACAGAGTAGGAAGCAAGAAGGAGCCTGCATCCCTGCTGTCACCATCGAGCCCTGCAGAGCCTTCACCTAACTACCCTGGACATCTTCATCTGTGTGAGACAAATAAAGCTCCATCCATTTAGGCCTTTGTTAAGTTTGTTCTTATTTGGAGCCAAACACTTTACTAACTACTAGAGAGACGTACAGTTGTGGGTCAGAAGCCAATTTAGGCCAGTCATAGTGCTTCACGCCTGTAATCCCAGCACTTTGGGGGTCTGAGGTGGGCAGATCATGAGGTCAGGAGTTCGAGACCAGCCTGGCCAACATAGTGAAACCCCACCTCTACTAAAAATACAAAAATTAGCTGGGCATGGTGGCACATGCCTGTAATCCCAGCTACTCAGGAGGCTGAGGCAGAAGAATAGCTTGAACCTGGGAGGCGGAGGTTGCAGTGAGCCGAGACCACGCCATTGCACTCCAGCCTGGGTGACACAGCGAGCCTCTATCTCAAGAAAAAAAAGCTAAAGCTAGTTTAACCATGTGGTTATGGAAGTCTTCTCTGAGGAGACGACATTTTAGTTGAGACCTAAATGATAAAAAGGAGCCAGCCATGTAAAGATCTGGGGAAAAGAATTCCAGGCAGAAAGAATAGCAAGTGCAAAGGCCCTTAGACAGAAATAGGTCAGCCATGTTCAAGGAACAGAGAAGATGTGCCTGAAGCACCATGAATGAGGGGGATTTCAACCATGGTGGAGGCCCTAGAGGGTGGGGGCTAGACCTTGGGTAACCCTCTACGCCTACCCAAAACTCCGAATTTTATTTTAATACCAAGGAGCAGATTTGAGATAGATGGATTTGAGATATGTTTTGGCAGTAAACCCTTCAACAGGACTCACTGATGGAGCAAATGTAGAATAAGGGAAATACAGGTGACTCCTAGATCTTTGTTCTGAATAGCTATGTGGAAGATGGAGCCATTGCATGAGTGGGGAAGAATGTAGGAGGTCCGGGTTGGGAAAAGGGAGGGAATGCTGAACCAATTGTATTTTATGTGACATTTGAGATGCCCATTACAATTGCAAGTGGCAGTGTCATATAGGAAGCTGGATACATGAATCTGAAGCTCCAGGGAGAAATGAGGGCTAGAGACAAACATTTGGAACTATCCACATACTGATGCCATTTAAGTCACGGGTCTGGATGTGATTTCCTGGCCGGAGAATATAGAGAAAGAAGTTGAGGCCAAGTGCAGTGGCTCACGCCTATAATCCCAGCACTTTGGGAGGCTGAGTGGGGAGGACTGCTTGAAGCCAGGAGCTGGAGACCAGTCTGGGCAACACAGTGAGATGCTATCTGTACAAAAAAATAAAAATAATTAGCTGGGTGTGGTGGTGCATACTGTGGTCCCAGCTACTCGGGA